GACCCACGTGCGCCCGGCCCCCACGTGCACGTGCCCACCGACGTGAGCGCCATTCCTCCGCCTTATGTGCGCCTGCCCCCACCCATGCGCACCACCCAGCCCGCACCTGGCCGCCCAACCCCACGTGTCGTTTGTCCTCCCACGTGTGCAGCGCCCCGCCCTCACGCTCACGCCACGCCCAGTAAGCACCTGGCTGCCCCGCCCCCTGATCGCTCAGCCCCCAAGTGCGCCCCGCCCAGCCTGCACCTGACGACCCTCTGCACCTGCCCACACCTGAGTGGAAAGGAGTCGCTCTGCAAACTGATCAGCCGCCATCTGTGGGGTCCAGGGACTCTGGCTGGGGGCAGCGAGATGCAGGAAGGGCGGTTGCTGAGGAGTTCTGGGGGAGGGGGCGGCGCTGAATCTTGTGCTGGGGGCGAGGAGTCGGAGACCGGACTGGGGCAGGTGCAGCGAGGTGGAGGGAGTCTGCCCAGGGTGCAAGGGTGGGGGTAGGCTGAGGGCAGGGCCCGAGGATGAGGGGGGCTCCTACCCTCGGGACGTAGGCGCCTCGGTTTCCTACTGAGACGGAGAGGACTCGGGGCCACAGGTAAGCATCTTTTGGGGGGGGGGTGAGAACCAGGAGGGCGGGAGAGCACTCGGGACCACGAGGAAGTGTCTTGGGGGGGTGTAGTGTCCCGCGTCTGCCATAACAAAGCACCACACACTGAGGGGCTTACAATAACCTAACTCTACTCTCTCACAGTCCTGGGGGCCAGAAGTCGGACGTCCAGGTGTGGTTCTGGAGATCTTCCTGGCCTCTTCCAGCTCCTGGTGGTTTCTGTGGCCTCATGGCTCCATCGCTGCTCTGTCTTCACGTGACCTTTGTGCCTTCTTCTCTTTCCTTCTCTAATGCAGACACTTGGCCTTGGATTTAGGGCCCACCCTAATTCAGGGTGATCTCATCTCAATTTGGGATGATGAGATCAGGAGCTAGCCAGAGATGGGTGCAGAGACTGCCAGACAGGCGGTGCTGGGGCCCCACTGGGTGGGGGTCCTGTGAGTTGAGGGTCACTGCCAAGGCTGAGGGCTCAGCAGCCTGAAGGGAGACGTAGGGAGAGGCGGTTCAGGGCTGTTGAGAACGAGCAGGCTGTGGTGACATGACATGGGACCCCTACATCGTGCTGTGCAGCAAAGGAGGGGTCCATAGTCTGGGGTTAAGTGAGGCAGGCAGTGTGGGGACTGATGGGAACAATGGAGTGGAGGCTGCTGGGGGGCCAGGAGGCCAGTCTGTCTGCCACCCCCACCACCCCACTGCCTGCCCCCCCCACCTCCCAGGCCTGCCCACCACCCACCAGCCCCAGGCCCTGCACAGATGCTCTGCCATAGGCCAGCTGCTGTTTTCTGCAGGGGGTGTGAAGCGTATCGTTAAGGCCAGGAAACCGGAACATTAGATTCTGTCCACACGGGAGGGGGCCCTCACATCTATGGTGATATGAGGAGGGGCAGGCTCCTAGCCCTGGGAGCCTCCAGTACCTGGTAGAGAGCCAACCAGGGTCACTGAACAGGACGCGGGGGCAGGGCAGCCTGCTGCAGGAGGTGGCTGGAGCCCAGAGTCAGCCCTATCCTCTTTTCGGGCAGTCGGGAGCCGGCTCGAGTCTGGGCTTGGCTCCGAGATGCAGTGCCAGGCCGAGTTTTCATTCCCTGAAGCCCTCAGAAATGTCATCGGGCCCATCAGTCTCCCCCCATGGCAGCCCATGTAATTATCTCTAATTGATCAGCCGGCAGCGTCCCTCCTCCGGGGCTTCTGTCCAATGGCGATGATGTAGGCAGTGTGCCCCAGAGGGGGCCTGCAGGATGGTCACACTTCCTCAGTCAGCTGGGGCTCTGGCTGGACAGCTGGCCAAAGTCCTGCTGGGGGTGTGGTGCAGGGGTGGGTGAGACCCGGGGGCTGCGTGAGACCTGGGGGGGGTGGATGAGACCCGGGGGATGCGTGAGACCCGGCGGGTGGGTGAGACCCGGCTGTGGCTCCCGCCAGGACTGCCTCAGAGCATGACAGGACCTGACCAGAGGCTCCCTAAAAGCATCTGCCCTCGACCTGCTGCCTGCTGGAGGCAGACAGGGAGGGGCCTCAGGAGAGGGGCGGGGCCATGACACACAGGTCACACGCCCTCTACATGGGCCCCAGGGAGCCTCTATACTGACTGAGACCCTAAGGGCAGGCTGGACTGGGGCCCAGGTCTTGAGAAAATCAGCCTGGTTTGGGGCCACGGGTAAGCGGCTCTGTCTCTCAGCTTTTCTTTGCCACGGCCGGGTGTGCACTGGCCTGCAGACAGCCCCTTGCTGCCTGCTGACAGGATACTCAGTGTGCGTAGGTGTGGGTGAGGGCGCAGAGCAGCCACAGATCCCAAGCAGAGACGGGGCAGGCGGGGGCAGTCTCCTCCCACTCTGTCCCAGAAAGCTCTTCCCGCTCCCAAGACGCGGGGGACACGGCCACCGCCCCCATCCCGACGGGACGGCCGCCCAGGGGTCTTGGTGCGGGTTTTCTGCCGAGTGAGTGGTGTCTCGGGTGAGGAGCAGATGGAGCCAAGGAGAGGTCGGGCGGCAGCGCAGATCCTTCGCTGGTGTCTGCGCTTTAAACACCTGCGGCCCGCGCCCCCCACCACCACCCCACGCCCCACAGGGCGACTGAGCCCCCCGCGCGTGGCCAGCCGCGCGCTCGGGGTTATCTGGCCCCTGGAGAACTCCCTCCTGGTTTTTGGGATTACGAGCGGCCCCGAGCGCCGCAATGGAGCCTGATTCCCGGGGTGCGGCTGCGGTGGCGGCTCCTGCCGCGTCCGCACCCCTCCGCCGGCATGTTGAGTGCCTGGGCCGGGGGCCGCCGCTGTTCCCCGCGCGGTCGGCAGGGGGCGCGCCCGGACAGGCGCCCGAGCCCGACCCCGGACTTGGCTTTTCTTTCCGCATCCGAGGGAGAAAAACGTGAAAGGGTCGGGGAGAGGGGCGGGAGGGGTAAGCGAGGAAAGAAGTCGCCTGTCGCTCCCGGCTCGCTTCTCCGTAGGCGCCGGGTCCAGAGCCGCTGCGGACCCATGCGCGCAAACCTCGCGGGCGGGCGCGGCGAGCTTGCGGACCGGACCCCCAGCCCCATGCCTCTCCCCGAGGGGGCTCGCAGCCCGGGGGGCGTCCACACCAACCCCGCGCGCGGCGCGGGCTACACCAACCGGAGCTTCGAGTTCGACGATGGCCGATGTGCCCCCAGGTACGGTCGGCGGCGCCCTCCCCCACTGCGGGGAGACTCTGTCCGGGCAAGCTCTACTCCCCAGAGCCACCTGTCCCCAAAACACCCGCCCCCAGGACACCCTGTCCCCCGGGAACTCCGCTCCCAGAACTCCCACCCCCAGCGTCCCTAGCCCCAGGACCCTCTACCCCAGGACCCCGTCCCCAGGACACCCCTCCCCCCAGGACACTCTGACCGCTCCGGGCCTCAAGCGCCCTCCGGACTGTTATGGGGGCACTGGGGAGCCCCATTAGGGCGGGGCCGAAGGAGGGGCGCTCACTCTCTGACCAGCAGATTCCCGGGCTGCGCGGGGCGAGCGTAGGTCAGTCAGCGCCCTTAGGAAAAGGCAGCACTTAGCGCAGCCATTTTTAGATGCTGGGCGCAGAGCATCTCCCAGGCGCCACGGGAAGTGCGGTCCGGCGGGAGGAGGCGGCGGTGTGGACGCCGGGGCGCCCCGCGTCTAGAGACGGTGGGGGTGCTGCTCCCGGCCGCCGACCTCCAGCGCCTGGCGCAGGCTGGGGGCAGGGCCGTCTGGAGTTTGCCGGCGGGGAGGTGGCACCACAGAGCCCAAGTGGGGCGTAAGGTGACGGTGCCACCACAGTAGCGGGTTTCCAGACAACCCTTCCCAGGAAGAGATGTGGCTTCTGCCCAGGGAGCCCCAGTTGGGGGTTGGGATGCAGGTGGACCGGGAGGCTGGTGCTGGGGCTGATTTTTTCCTCTGTGGGACTCAGTTTCCCCGTATGAAATGGGAGAGAATTGGAGCGTGGTCTTTAAGGGCAATTTCTGGTGAGAGGACCAGGCTTAGGAGGCGGGGTTTCTAGCTTGCACATAGGGGCGGTGACTCGGCGGGGCTCCTCCCACCCTGTCCTGGCACCCATGGTGGGGGGGTTGGGTACAGCGGGGTTGAGGAGCAAGGATCTGAGTGCATACGTCACTCAGCAGTGCTGGGGAAACCGAATGTACCCCCTAAAGTGGGCACAGGCTGGTCCCTCCCACCGGAGCTGCCTGGAGGGGTCCCCCAGGCGATGGGGTCAAGCACGGAGTAAATGATGCCACAAGGGCACCTGTGATTCTGCCTCCGCCCAGTCCGGCCATTCCGCCCACCTCGCCCTCCTCCCATGCCCCCTGCAGGCAGCTGAAGGTTCAGCCCAGGCCTGGTGGCTGGGTCCTCCCCACCCTTGGTCTCAGCCCACCTGGCCCCTGCTCCTCCCCCAGCTGCACAGAGGTGGCCTCTGTCCTTACAGACATTGCCATCACACTGGAGGTGCTAGTATCGTTCCAGATGTCTAGAGCCACTGCCAGGATCAGAAAAGAGGTCAGGCTGGGTGAGGACCCCTGCCCCCCAGGGAAGGTCAGGGTGGGCGAGGACCCCCCAGGGAACGTCGGGGTTGGGGAGGGCTCCCCAGGGAAGGTCAGGATGGGTGAGGACCCCCCAGAGAAGGTCAGGGTGGGTGAGGACCCCACCAGGGAATGTCAGGGTGGGTGAGGACCCCCCAGGGAAGGTCAGGATGGGTGAGGACCCCCCAGAGAAGGTCAGGGTGGGTGAGGACCCCACCAGGGAATGTCAGGGTGGGTGAGGACCCCCCAGGGAAGGTCAGGATGGGTGAGGACCCCCCAGAGAAGGTCAGGGTGGGTGAGGACCCCACCAGGAAATGTCAGGGTGTGTGAGGACCCCCCAGGGAAGGTCAGGATGCATGAGGACCCCCCAGGGAAGGTCAGTGTGGGCGAGGACCTCCCAGGGAAGGTCAGGATGGGAGAGGACCCTCCAGGGAAGGTCAGGGTGGGTGAGGACCCCACCAGGGAAGGTCAGGATGCGTGAGGACCCCCCAGGGAAGGTCAGGGTGGGCGAGGACCCCCCAGGGAAGGTCAGGATGGGCGAGGACCCCCCAGGGAAGGTCAGGATGGGTGAGGACCCCACAGAGAAGGTCAGGATGGGTGAGGACCCCCCCAGGGAAGGTCAAGTGGGTGAGGACCCCCCCAGGGAAGGTCAGGGTGGGTGAAAATCCCCAAACGGCCTTCTGCCTGGAAGTCCGTTTACTGAGCATGGGGGAGGCATAGAGGGCCCCATCCTGGAAGAAGGTGGCCTTTGCCCATGAAGAGCCAGGCACTGAGAGCTATGGGAACCCTCCCCAGCCTAGCAGGGGTGCTCCACGCCGACGAGCCCTGGAGCAGCTGAGAGGTGGTCCTGAGGCCCCCAGTCAGGTGAGCAGGGACCGGAATGGTAACTGTAGCCTGGGGACATGGGTCTGAAGCCAGGGACAAGGGTCCTACTGGACTCGGGCCAGCCAGTGGCCTTCAGCCTTGGTCCAGGAAGCAGGCTGGGCGGGGGTGGGCTCTTCAGGGGAGAAGCACTGGTGGGTAGCAAGTGAGTGGGGGCCCCCCAGGAGGAAGAACAGGTGAAAAGGGGCCCCTTGCTGCCCACCCCAGCCCTGTGGCCACAGGCCCATCAGTAGAGGGGCCTGGGGGGGATGACTGCCTTTGAGTGGGCTTGGCTGGGCTGGGGGACTCCCATGTGAAGATGCCAGCTGGCAGCTCCAGGTCAAACTTTAGCTTGGAAGACCCTTCTCAGGGAGAGCAGCCCGTGGGGGGAATTTTGCAGGGCTACCCAGCTCTTCAAGGGTGTCAGTGCCTGGCTCTGCACCACCCCAGACCTGGGGGTCGTTCACAGGTGTCGATAGTGCTAGCTGAAACGCTGCTGTTCAGGGGGAGGGAGAGCTGGACACTCGTGGCCACCCCCGATGAGCTGCCCACACTCCAGCCCTGACCCAGGCCAGGGCCAACCCCAGGCCAGGAAGCAGAGCACTGGGCCCCTGGCAGGCACTCCTGGAGTTTAGGAGCCTTCGCCCTGGTCCTTCTGCCTCCTCTAAGTCCCCTGAGGTCCCAGGCCCGGCCACTCCTTGGGGTCCCTGAGCACTGCCCTTCTCTGCTGCTTCTTCTGAGGTTCAGATGCCTCTGCCCTGGAGGAGACAGTTGTGGGGGCAGAGGGGCGAGGGGGCCTGGATGCCCTCTCTGCCCAGGAGGGAACAGTGGTTATGGGAGGGGGACGGGTGGCCTGGCTGCCCCCTCTGCCCTGGAGGGGACAGTTACCACAGGGATGGCAGCCGCCCTGTGCTGCGCCCACCCCCTGCCCAGCGCACTCCCTGTCACTGCCCCGGCTCACCCTTCCCTGGAATTGCCTATTCCCACAGCTCAGCTCCCCAGGGCCCTCATGGGATCCTCTGGGCCTGGCTGGAGGGCCCACCGGCCTCCTCCTCGCTGCGTATATTAGGAAGCACTGCCTTCGGGGTAGCAGGAAGCGGCCAGCCCAGGGAAAGGGCTTGCAGGGGTCAGCAGGAGGGGCAGCTGGTAGCCTCCAGCTGGGGTGACTGGAGGGGACTCGGGTCTGCCTTTCGGCCCAAGGTGGCTCCGGCACCAGCTCAGGAGGCAGAGGGGAGTGGGAAGGGACCCAGGTCCTGCCCTCTCCTGTCGCCCATGTCCTTGTGCCTCTGCCTTGGAGCAGGTGGTCTCGTCCTTCGGCCGCAGGGGTGCATGTCTGGTCTCGATGAACCCATGACGTTGGCCAGGACACCCAGGTGCAGAAGCCTGGCTTTGTGATGGCGATGTCTCTCTCCTGGGGGCTTTGTGAGTGAGTCATAAGCCTCCCCTAGACCGCTTGTTTGGCTTCCCAGGTTGCCGGGACGTGTGCACCTGCCCCAGGCTCAGCCCGCGGGCACTCGGGGGCACCACTGCTGTGGCCCCAGGCAATCCTGCGTTTCTGGGAATGGGGCCGTTGTCTGAGCATATCCTGGACCCATGTGGGTCAAGGGTGTTAGCAAGGCTGTGTTTGAGCACACGAGTGTGCAGTGTGTGTTGTAAGCCTGTGTCCCAGACACATGTCCAACCGTGTGTGCACACGTGTGGATGTGTGAGAGCCTGTGAGGGCTCAGCCAGCCTGTGTGACTAGGGTGTCCCTCTGTGAGTTGGGGAGAGGGCGTGAAGGGGGCCTGGCAGGCTGTGCCAGCGGTGCTGGGGAGGCTGCAGCACCACACAGCCAGGCTCACCCCCTCCATCTCCTGCACGCTGGCCGGGTGCTGGGCACGGGGCAGGTGCTCCTCATGGCATACGGGTGTTTGAAATGTGTCTTGGGCAGGTTCCTGCCACTGTGTGTGGTTAAGTCCCCGGAACACACGTTCACCTGAAGCCCTTGGACCTGCAGAACTTGGGGCAGAGCCAGAGAGGCTGGAGTTGGGCCAGGGCTGGGACTGGCCTGGGGAGGTGAGGCCGGAAGAGCAGCGGTCGAGTTTAAAAGTTTGCAGAGGACGGGGACAGGGCGAGAGGCAGCCAGCCTGCTGGACTGGGGCCCTGGGAAGGCTGCTCCCTGAACAGGAAGGATGGGCGATGAGGAGGCAAGAGAGGGGCTGGCCTCACGGAGCAGAGGCAGAGGAGGCGCAGGGAGATGGGGGACACTAGGGCCGGGCCTGGGCCGGATGGGGGGCCCTCAGGAATCTGCATGGTCTCCACCAACAACAGGTAAAGCGTGCAAACTCAAGGATGCGAACGTTTGGAGCCGAAGGATGGGGTCGGGCGCCGGCCCTGTGACGGCTGCCTGGGGGCTGTCTTAGTTCTCTAGAGCTGCTAGAACAGAAGTACCACGTGTGGGTGGTTTTGACAAACAGAAATTTATTTTCTCCCAGTTTAGGAAGCTAGAGGTCCGAATTCAGGGCGCCCGCTCCAGGGGCGGTCTTTCTCTCTGTGTCAGCTCTAGGGGAAGGTCCTGGTCTCTTCTCAGCTTCTGTTTCTGGATTCCTTGGCAAGCTCGTGTGGCCTGGCACCTGCCTACCTCCATCTCTTCTTGCTTGCTTGGTTGCTTGCTCAGTCTGCCCTTTTATATCTCAAGAGAGATTGATTGAAGATACAGCCTACTCTTATTAAAATAAAAAAGAAAACCCATTCCTGAACAAGATTATAACCACAGGTTCAGGAGTTAGGATTGACAACACATA